AGGTGAGCGGGCACGGGCTCCCCTCCATGGGATCTGCAGGAAACACGAGGAACGGGATGGGGGAAACCCAACCCTCCAAACCAACGTGGGGCTGCTGCCACAGCCACCTCCCGGGCTCTGGGGTGGCCCTGGGGTGTCCCTGAGGGGCACAGGGAGGGGTCCCCCAGGCTTGACGGGGTCCCTGCTCCCGCAGTGCTCGGCTCCCTGCGGAGGGGGCATCCAGAGGCGCCAGGTCAAGTGCATCAACACCAAGACAGGGGTGGCCGAGGAGGACAGCAGCCTGTGTGACCACGAGCCCTGGCCCGAGAGCACCCAGAAGTGCAACCCCCAGGACTGTGACAGCTCAGAGCCAGGTAAGTGAGCGATGCCAGGGCCTCCTGCCTGTGCTGCCACTGAGTGCTGTGTCCATAGGCTGTGCTCCTCAGGAGCTTGTGGAGCTCTTGGGACAAATGCTGAGTTTTGGGGGCATGGTGGTGATCTTGGGGATTGGTGTGGGAACCACCCAGGCTCCCGTTCAAGGACTCCTAAGAACTGTAGGAGCACGACCCGTCCTGGATCCTGTAACCAGGAATGGTTTTTCTAGCCAAGTTTAGCCTCATTCTTTATGTTTCTCCCCACTTCTCACTTCCCATCCCCCCAGGATGGTTCATGGGAGGACACCAGAAGTGGGGACAGACCAGCTCCACTCCACTTTTCCAGGGCAGGTCATGCCCTGTGCTGTCTTGCTGCTCCTGGGAAGGGACTCCAGGAAGTGCTGTGCAACCAGTGCTGGTGCAGGGTGGGATGGGCTGAGTGCTGGGAGAATCCAGGGGTCCAGGCACAGGGAAGGGTGACAGGCACAGGGTGCTCATGGTACTGCCAGAGAACTGGGGCTGCTGCAGCAAGGAGTGATCAGGGAGGATGGAAAACCAGTCTGAGAAGCAGTGTGGGAACTCTATGGGAAGATGGGAGGGGTGTTTCATACATGGATTGTGTAAGGCTGGCTTGACTAATCGATAATTAAGTGGGAATGTTATAACCATCTCTATGTCCGGAGCATCCGTCTCTCCGGGGCCGAGCAGGGATTTCACTGGCACAGATGGGGGCTGGGATGTGCTTGTCGGATGCAGAAGTGTCCCTGAGCACTGGGACAACCAGCACCCACCCCAGGGACCCTGGTGGGGCTGTGGGGTGAAGGGACCTGGTTCAGGGGTAACGTGGCATTCAGGCAAAGGAAGGCAGAAGGAAATGGCCAGTGATGGAGCTCTCAGAAAGCTGCCTGGTGGTAAAGTCCCAGAACACAGAACTTAGGGAACAAGCTGGGCCAGCATTATCAAATCAGATAAAAGGCCAGTTCTGCAGCCTCTTCAGGTGTGTCTGAGCAGGTGCATCAGGGTGACAGCCCCATTTCAGCCCACCTTTCATTTCCCTGTTCTGGCTGCAGCCACAGTACACCCCTTCATTCCCAGAGGTGCATCCCATGGCACCAGGCAGCTCCCTGTGAGCCAGAAACCGGGGGCTGCAAGGGTTAATGGCACTTAAAGGAAAAGCATTATGAGCAGGGATTGGATGTCACTGGTATGAGCATGTCAATCATTTATCAGCTTTATCTTTTTAATGTGTCTGTGCAAAAAAAAAAGCTCTTTGTCTGCCCAGAAAGTAATGTTAGCCCCTCGGGAGGTCTGCTGGACAAAGAGAGGGCTGAGGGATGGAGCGGGTGGGCAGGAGGGCAGCAGTGCCCGATGCCCAGGGTGCAGGAGCTGGATCCATGGCTGCTCCACACCTTGGGGCAGGTCCCCTCTGCAGCCTGGGACACCCATTCCCACCCTTCCAACTGTGTTTATCCCGTGTCCAGCACGTTCCTCCTGAGTCCTCTTGCAGGGAGGGCAGGAGCGTTGGCTTTGGTTCAGAGGGATTTGGGGACTGGCACCGCTGGCCATCGGGATGTTTTTAGCCATTAAGCAGCTCCTTTTTGGAGCCTTTGCAGGGCCGTGGGGCTCTCCAGCCTTTAGGAAATGATTAGTCAGCCTCGCTCAAGAAATGATGTGCGGTTCCGGCTATTTTTATAAAGGGAAAATTTCCGTGCCGGGCTTGGTGATGAGAGCCATGGAGCCAAGGCTGGACCAGAATAACCACTGAGATGTGTAGGAAGCACACAAATAAATGTTAAAATCCTGGATCAAAAATGACATAAACGCTCTGGCTGCAGCCCAGGGCAGGAAACGCCTCTTGGAAATACAAACCTTTCCAGCCAAAGCATGAAGGGGAACAAAACTTTCACATGGCAGGAAATCCCAGATGTGTAAATCCACAGGCTCCCAGAAAGGCATGAACGTAACTGCAGCCCTTTCCTGTGTTTTAAGGGATCTTTACTGCACAAGATGGATGCAGGCTGGAGCGATCCGTGTTTTCCTTAGGAGCACGAGGAGCCTCTCCCTCCTCTGGCACGAGGTGCTCCAGTACCACAGAGCCATGGCTGGGTCTGTGAGCGGTTGTGTCCTCACTGGACACAGAAATGCCAATAGCCCCAGCAGGGTTTGAATGTTCAAACCATTATCAGATGGATTTTGAGCCGAGATGGAACAAATGCAGCACAAACAAACATCTCACAGCAATCGGCTCCTCAATTAAAGGAGGTCGGGATTAATTAGAACCAGAGTCCTGTGCTTCTGCCAGGTTATAAATTAATTGAAGATTACACCAAGGTTATTTTTGAATGTGCCTGTTGTCTTCCAGCTGCAGCCAGCTGTGAGTGTGTCCTCAGATGGCTCCTGGGGAGCATCAGAGCCCGTGGGCACCCCAATGCCTCCGTGGGATGTCCCAGAGGCTGTGGAGGTTTATCAGGAATTGTTTACAGCATCTTGGAAAGGAGCTGAATCCCAGGCTCAGCTGGAGAAACCAGCACCAGTTTATGCAGCAGATCAAGTAGTTTTAACCCAGAAAAGCAGGAATTGCTGTCTGTGGGAGAGGAAGCCAAGGGGTGGATGGAGCTGGTCACTCTGCTGGTGTGGGGTGGTGGCCGTGCCAGGACAGTGGCTTTTGGGCAGACCCTGGTGATGGTGACACAGCCCTGCTTGGCACAGAGCACAGGCAGCCCCTGGGGGGTTCATTGGGGTCATGCCATAAAATTCATCATTTCCCTTGTGCCCGTTCCCTGGATCCAGTACTGGGGGCAGTCTGTGAGCTCCCCAAATTCTCTCCAAGCAGGTGTCAGGCAGGTGATGGGGCCAGGTCTTGGCTCCAGCCAAGCCAGCACTGTCCCACAGGTGTCTCAGCTTGGAATACCAAAGGGATGAGGTAAAGCCTTCAGCTGGCTCAAGGACAAGTGTGTGTGGACTGGTGCAGTTGCTCTGGGAAGGGGACAGAGCAGTGGGGTGGAGCTCAGCCCTGTGTCCCTGGACAGCCAGCACGGGATCGTGTGGGGTGAGGGGACACCGGGCCCCTGACCCAGGGCTGGCTGTGCTTCTGGTTGCCTCAAGATTAATTGGCAATTAAACGTTGTGTTCCTGCTTGCTCTGAGTAAGGAAATGGAATTGTTCATGGTTCTGCATGTCGCTGAGTTTGTCCACAAGGGATCCATAAGGGAAATAATTGCAGCAAATTCCAATTTTCTCTGTCGTTTGAGCGTGGAAGTCCCTATCCCAGGGGCAAGGCAGGGAGGTGCTGCTGAGTGAGGCATTGAGGGCAATTAATTAACTGCTAATTAACAACGGGAGTCAGTGGGAAAGGGATGCTTGAGAAAGAACTCCGTTTTTATGAAATGTGAGAGAAAGATGTTGCCCACAGCAGGGCTGACACCTGAGAACTGGGGGGGCTGTGGTTTTCTCCCAGTTTGGCCATGTCAGTGCCAGTCTGTGCAGGCAAAGCTGGCACTGGGGGTGCATCCCATGCATCCCATCACGCTGACCAGGGACCACAGGGGAGGGCACCATGGCCCTGGAGCAGGACCTTGGGATACTGTTTGTTAAATTCAGCCCTGGCTTTGAGAGCATCCCGAAGGCCAGAGGTCAGCAGCCTAATTCCCTGGATTTGCTAGCTCAGCTCGAAGCTCAACCTTTCCTTGTTTTTACAAAACCTGTTCCAGGAAGTTTATTTTTCCCAAGAATAGAAGTAAAGGCTTAGGTCTGGGTGGCAGAAGCTTAAATGAAATTTAAAGCGACTTCCAAGCTGACCTTAAAAAAACAACCCCCAAAAAAGTGGGGGTTTTCACTCTCTAATGTGCTGACTTAGCCTGGATTTTTAAAGCCCCTCTTTAAGCTATTTCTTTAGCCTAAAATTTGGCATAGACTTACGGTACGTGTGTCCAAATGAAGTGTGAGGATTATATAAAAAAATTGTTAATAGAAAAAAATAACAGTAAAAGGATTAAATGGAAATGGAAATCAGGCCCTCTCTGAAGAGCTGACAAATCAAGTGCTTAGTACAGCTTCCCTTGCCCAAGACCAAATTCCAGGGAGGAATCACGAGCCCAGCCAAGACTGTCAGACCTGAGCTTGACCCCACACACATCCACCCTGAGCCGCTGCCTCGGCCCCGAGCACGGGGCTGGGAAAGCGATGAGAACTCGCAGCTCAGAGACTCCCACTGCCTCACTGAGCTCTGGGGGCGTTTGGACAGCGCTCTCAGCACAGGGTGGGATTGTTGGGGTCTCCTGGGCAGGGCCGGGGGTTGCACTCGATGATCCCTGTGGGTCCCTTCCCATTCAGGTGTTTTGTGATTCCATGAGTTCGTTTTGCTTCGGACCCAGAGTCCCGCAGGGGTCTCCTGTGAGGTCAGCAGAACCTCCAGCCAAGGGAGGTGGCTCTTCCCCACCCTCTCCAAGCCCATCCCGGCTGTTTCCACAGTAACCTCATTCCTGTGCCGATAAGGTGGTGCACAAGGGGCAGTGACTGCAGGCAGGATGGGCTGCAGGCAGGATGGGCTCGTTCTGCCCGGGCAGCACAGGGACCGGAATTCATCCCGTGCCCGGGGTGCTGCCCTGCCAGACAGGGATCAGGACAGGGCTGAACCCTCACTTCAGTCCTGGAAAGCGACCTCCCAGCACGAGCCCCAGCAGCCTGCAGGGCTCTTTCAAGGGAAGGCAGGAGGCAGCTTGGTTGGGATCCATAAATAACTTCCTAGGAAGCTGCGATAAGTGGAGTGAGCAGGAGAGAGGGCTAAAAATACTGAGGGGCTCCTGGGGGTCTGCCTGGCCTGGGCACCCCTCGAGCAGGGATGGGGACACCCCCACCCATCCGTGGGGTGTTTTTAGCCGAGTCCTCCTCGCCCTGGGGCTTTGCTGCAGCTACACCCGAGCACACCAGCCCTGCCCCTGCCTGCCAGGAGCCACTGCTCCGTTCTCCAGCTCCCCTGCTCAGTGTCACTCCCAAACCCAGCGAGTTTGGGAGCCCTGGAGGGATTGAAAGGATGTGTGGGTGTGGCATCTGGGGACGTGGTTCAATGGTGGCCTTGGCAGTGCTGGGGGGATGACTGGACTCAATGGTCTTGGAGGGCTTTTCCAAGCTTAGTTGGAAAAGTCTGTAAATCCCATGGGAAGCACAGGTTGGGCAGGGGGGTTACCCAGTGGTGAGGAGTAAATGAATTACCAAATCCTGTGGATGGGGACAGCCAGGAGCAGTGTGCTGGGCTGGAGCTGAGTAATGGGGTGTTTTAGGGTGCAGCTTGGCTGGTGCACCCCAGTATTGCCATCACCAGCCTTGGGGGGTTCTCCAGGCTGATTCCCCCTCTCATGGGACACTCCCAGAGTGTTTTAGGAGTCCTGCTGAGCCATCCCTGTCCTGTAGTGGGTGCACATGGGGATACATGTATTGCTGTGCTCCCATGTCCCAGTGCAAAAGGGCCCTGGGGGTTCAGGGAATGCCAGGTGGAGCCATAAGGTTGCTCCCAGGGAATATTATCCCCGAGACCCTGAGGGAGCATCGCATGAGCAAATGCTTCCCTTTCCCCTCCGGCTCTGGTGCTCTCATGGCAGGTTTGGGATGTGCTCCTGGCCTGGCCCTTGCTGGGCTGTTCAGAGATTTCTTATCCACTCTGCTCAACCAGCAGGAAAAATCCACATTGTCCCAGCCCCCGGGGGTTGGAGCCCCCAGGCTGGGGGGTGATGTGAAGCCGGGATCCACTCGGTCCTTCTCCGTTGGCAGCCGTTGGATCCAGCGGTGCGGGGGATCCATGGCTTTGGGGGCACAGAGAGCTGCAGCTCGGGGGGAGGAGAGGAAATACCTCAGCTGAAATAGAAAATTAATTTTAGAGTGACCTCCTCACTGCTGGGCTGGGGGAGGGGGCTGTGGCTGAAATCCCAAATGGGGGGAGAAGTCTCTGCTCTGCATCTGCCACCGGGGTCGGCTCATCCCGTGGGAATCGGGGCAGCAGCCTTTCCCTCAGCACAGCCTTTGTTCCCAGAGGGGACATGGCGAGGGGCAGTGGTCAGTGAGAGCTCCCCTGGCTCGGTCCTGGTGTTGCCTGAGCAGAGAAGTGTCCTGAGAAAGAGAAAAACCCATTTCCTGCCCCACTTCTGCCCCTGCTCAGTGTGGTCCTGGTGGAGGGTGCCCAGGGAGGGGCAGTGTGAGGGGACCAGGGGGTGCCAGCCCAGGGGAGAATCAGCTCTGCCCTTTTCCAGAGAAAAGCTGTCCTTTATTTACGTTATTTGTACAGGAGGCAAAATCAGACAGAGCTGATGTAATTCAAGCATGTCTTGCCCAACTGGGTGAGATGCTGCTTGTGTGGAGATACAGCAGAAAAGGAGGAAATTAAAAATGAAACCAGCTGTGTACCCATAGGAACAATATGTGTTTGCTGATGGGTCTCTGCTGCTGTGGCTCAGTTGAGGTGCAGCCTGGCTGAGCCTGGTGGTGGAGCTGGGAGCTGCTGATGGTGCAGGAGAGGGCTGTCCCCTGTCTGCCACATTCCCACACCACCCCATGGGATGTATGCCCCGTGCTGTCCCATGGGGTGCACATGGAGGCAGCTGTGAGGGTGTTTCGGGGTGCTGGGATGTTCCACCCTCTCACACCCCAAGGACAAGGTCTCTTTGGGGCAGCACTCGAGTCTCCCTCGCTGTGAACCCAACCCCCCTGACCTGGCACTCCTGGTCCTGGACTGGGATCTGTGATTTCCAGACTGTTTGCAGAGAGGAAACAGCTCCTGCAAAGTTTGCTCAGCCCGTGGGTGACTCAGGGAGGTGGCTGGGCTGTGGCCATGGGTGACTCGGGGGGCTGTGGCCACCACGGCTGCTGCTGCAGCTGCCCAGGCACTGCCCCCCAGCAGCGGTTCCCAAAACAAAGCCCGTCCTTGGAGCAGCACCAGAGTTGTTTTGGGGTCTGCAGGACACCTGCAGGAAGTGAACCAGATGATGCAGGTTCTCGAAATAACCCAAACAATGCCCAGAAAAAGGAATTCTGGCCTTTCTGCTGCTCTGCCAGCACTGGGGGAGTCTGGGGAGGAGAAGTCAGTTTGTCCCCCTGCACCTCAGCCCCACTCCCTGGCAATGATGCTGCCCTGGGAGGATGCCGTGGAGCTGCAGGGGGCAGCCCAGGTGTTGTTGATGCTGGGAATGAGGAATACCGAGGTGCAGGTGGGCTCTGCGTTTGGGGAGCTTTGTCTGTGCCTGTGCCAGCTCCCACAGAATGCTCCAGTGGGTTGGGTTGGAAGGGACCTTAAAGACCATCTCGTTCCGACTCTTGCCACGTGCTGGGAGATTTTTCACAGCAGTGATGTGACACCGGCACTGACACTGCCCTTGTCCCCTCCGTCCCCTCCAGGTGTCCCCTGCGAGCGCGACCGCCTGACCTTCGGCTTCTGCCAGACCCTGCGGCTGCTGGGCCGGTGCCCCCTGCCCACGGTGCATCTGCAGTGCTGCCGGAGCTGCCGCCGGCCCGGCCGGGACCGCGGGGACGAGCGGCTGCGCCCGGAGTGATCAGGAGCCGGTTGCCAGCGGGGCTTCCCGGCGCACAGAGCTCCGCGGGACCGGCTGGCTCCGCCCTCCGTCCCGCGGGCAGCCCCGGTGTCTTTGTCGTGCCACTCTGAGTTTGACGTGCTCAGACCATCGGATCGGGCTGGCTGGGCTGGGCTGGGCTGCGGCTGCGGCTGGGGCCGGGTCCCTGCCCGGACCCCCGGCGGGGTCACTGCCCTGGGTGCCCAGCGGGGGAGCATTTTGGGGAAGGGAACCAACGCAGCAGTAACTCGGGGGACACCTCCCAGAAATGCTTATGGTGCTATCATTTGACCTTTTCCGCCTCTTGAAGGTGTTGGCTGGCCAGCACAAACCTTGACTTTTTTTACTGTTTTTGTATCTCTGAAGTGAGCATCCAGCACTCCACCAGCTCCACTGACCCTCTGGGGTAGGGACTCTTTTCTTCCTTAAGGGACTTGAAGCTGGCAACCCATTCCTGTAATTTTCATTAAAATGTTTACTGAAGCTAAATACATTTAATGTAAGAAATGGAAACAGGGCAGAGGAGTCGAGTTTTGGCTGCAGTCAGGGCTGTGCTGGGCTCCACACCCTGTGTCCCCACTGCAGGCTTTCTCTGCCAGAGCCACTGCCTGGGTCACTCTGGAGCAGAGGGGATCATCAGGGACACCAAGGTTTGGAGTCCAGCAGCACTTCCCTTGCATGTCTTTGGGAAGGAGAGGGGAGGCTGCTCTGGCCACGGTGGTGAGCAGCACATCCCCTCCCTCGTGGGCAGCCAAGTGCTAACCCCTGGATTTTTGTATGTGTAGCAGCGTAATGGTTGTTTAAGGTGTTTTTCTGTGTTCTTACAAGCTAACCCCCTTTTTTCCTGCTTATCTAGAGTCCCCTCTGTTAAGGTTAGCTGACTTTTAACTAGAATATCCAGTATTGTATGAGGCACAGCTCCTTTCCCGGAGCAGCGTGTGCCTGTCTTGGGAAGGGTTTGCTGGTAGGTCGGTCCCTGGAGAAGGGCAGGAGCATTCAGGTAGGAATTCCTTTCCCTATTACTCTCAGGCTGTGGAAGATGCCCAAAACCTGGGGGATCAGGAGGGTAACCCTCCTGGCACTGAGCAGGGCCAGGCCAGAGCCCATCCCGGGTCACAGCTCCAGGTGTGTTTAATCACCTGTCTGGAGCAACACTGGGTCCCTAAATGGAAATTCCTGTGTGTGATCTGTATGTAAAACACACCCATGACTTCACCATCTGTGTTTTATTCCTTTCCAACATGGTGTAAATTTTTTATGTTCCAAGAGCCTGTGTTCAGTCCTGGTTTCCTTCTCCCTGGCTCCCTCTGTCCCCTCCCAGCTTTGCTGAGGGACAACCCCTGTGCTGGGGTCTCATGGCCACAGCTCACCAGTGTGGTAAATTAAACAGTTACTGAAGGAAACAAGTGGGTTTCACAGTTTCTCTTTCCCTCAGGGAATTTTGAGGGGATTTTCAGTTAATTGTGGGTGGTTGAGGCCCTGGCAGCAGGAAGGGGGATTGGTTTGCATCTGAAAATCATTTCCAGCGGCCCTCTGCAACTGGGATTTGTTGATTAAAATGTGAGCTGGGTCGATGGGGTGAGTGAGTTCTGCAAATCAGTTCATTTCAGGGGTACCCAGCCAGGTGAGCCCCTCCTGCAGTGCCTGTCCATGTGCAGGGTCCCATCCACAGCCGGGATGAGGGCACAGGATAATCCTCCTGTGGGAGACTCAGCCAAGCCACTGCACCAGTCCATGGCAGAGCCCAGTGCCCACCAGCACCTCGTGTCCCTGTGCTCCTGCCAAGGCTGCATCTCTTTGGCACAGGGAACTGCAGCAGCCAGGGGGAACCTATTCCTTTCAACCAGAAACCTTTCCTTTTCAACCCCAAATCCTTTCCTTTTCAACCCCAAATCCTGTGTGTCTCCAGAAGGGCCGACCCCGCCGGGCTGGGAGCCCTGGGGTTTGCAGAGTGGTGACCCCAGCCCTGCTGTGACCTCCAGCTGTCACAACACAGCCCTGGACCGGGTGTCCCTCTGGGAAGGGCTGAGCCCTTTCCCAAGCACTTGGACCGGGAGCAGCAGGATTGGATTTAATGCACAGCACCCTGAACCTGACAGTGGCCAGCCTGTGCAGGTGTCAGCTGGGCACTGAGGCTGGAGGAGGTTGGATCATAGTGTGGGAGTCTGTTGGAAGGGCATTTTGTCTGGTTTGTAGCCACATAACAAGCCAGGCCTCCCACCAGCACAGAAACTGCATTATCAGTGAGGATAACACACATCTTGCTTCATTTTCTTTCAATGAGACACTTACAGGGAGTCTCTCTGGAGAGACTCTTTACAAGGGCCTGGAGTGACAGGACAAGGGGGGAATGGCTTCCCACTGACAGAGGGAAGGGTTAGATGGGGTATAGAAATGCCTTTTTTCTTCTTTTAAAGATGCTTTTATTGTTTCAACACAAGCAGGATGTTATTCAGACACAGCTGCTGCAGTGGGGGGAAAGGAAGGAGGAAAGGGCTTATGGATCAAAAGATGTTTGAAATAGGGTCATGGAATGGTTTGGGTTGGAGGGACCTTAAGGATCATCTGGTTCCACCCCCTGCCATGGGCAGGGACACCTTCTACCAGCCCAGGTTGCTCCAAGCCCCATCCAGCCTGGCCTTGGACACTTCCAGGGATCCAGGGGCAGCCACAGCTTCTCTGGGCAACCTGTGCCAGGACCTCCCCACTCTCACAGCCAGGAATCCCTTCCCAATATCCCATCTAACCCTGCCCTCTGGCAGTGGGAAGCCATTCCCCTTGTCCTGTCACTCCATTCCCTCCCAAACTTTTCCATGATTCCATGATCTCCTGAAAGCCTCTCTGAGAGGAGTCAGAGGCTTTTGGCTTCAGATCAGAAATCAGACCTTTGTGCCTGCCTTGGTCACCTCCAGACATTTCCATCCTGGAGACAGGAAGGAAGGGAGCTCACTACTTGGGAAGCAGGAGGCACTTATGGAGGAGCTTGTTTGTGTCTGGGGTTCACGGGAACACTCAAAGCGCTTCCGCGGCTCCGGGGGCAGTCGGGTCTCCCTGCAGAGCACCTGTGGTTTGCAGCTCTCAGACCTCACCAAGTGCTTCTGTCTGGCCCAGATGGTCTCAGCTGGAGGATTTGAATTCCCAGAGAGCCAGAGGGGTCATCAGTCCTTCATCAGCTGCAAGGACGAGGGAGGGCCCCTGGTCCTGCCTGTGACCTGAGCACGTGGGGAGGCAGCGAGGCCAGTGGGACCAGGAACAGCTCCCAGCTCCCATCTGTGCTCTGTAACAGGGAATAGGTAGGAATAAGAGATGGGTTTGTGTTCTCCTGGTCTTAAAACCTCCTTGTGCTACACACAAAGGCTTCACAGGCACAGCCCCGAGGGTCAGCAAAGCCAGGACAGCAAGGAGAGGAGCTGAAGAATTTTGCTGGTTTATCTGTTTTTTGGCTTTTAATCAGCAGCTGCTCTGGGTGGGAACAGCCTCCATCCAACCCCTTTGGGGTGCTGATCCCAGCCAGTGCTCCAGCAGGTCACGGGCACCTCAGGACTGCCCATTGCAGAGGGACATTCCCAGTGGGAAGTAAAGCAGCAGAAAACAGGCAGAGGGAAGGAAGGGGAGGGAAATGAGCTGCCTCTTTCCTCAGCTGGTACCAAGGCACGGCCTGTTTGCTCACCCGGAGCAACCGTTTCTGTTGGGAAGGGAAATAAAACTGTTTCACATGTGCTGAACGAGGGGAGGGAGGACCCACAGCCCCCACTCCCCCAGCCCCAGCCCTGCATCTGTACTTGAGGGAAGGCTCAGCAGGCTGGTGTAAATATTTAGAAGTATCTATGGGCTAAAAATAGCTCTGTGTCTACACGCAACAGCTCCATTGCCATCTCTGGTGAGTAACAGTTACTCCCCCGTGTAAAGTGTTTGCAGAGGAGCCCCAGGAGCCCCTCACACAGCCCTGCTGTGGGTGAGACCCCCAGGTGTAGGATTCAGCCCCTCCACCTCTCGGTTTGCTCCTCCTTTGCAGGGACTCAGCCTGGGGATCCGGGGTTGGAAACGGGATTTTAAACCTTCTATTCCAGAGGCTGCTGTGAATCCCTTTGCATGGCAGGGGAGCCCAGTGAAGGGGCAAAAGGGTGATGCTGCTCTTCCTGGGGGGGAATGGAGGGGGGAATGGTCTGTCTTCGTGGCTGTGCTGAGGTTTGAGGCAAGGCAGGAGCTAAGCCTGGGCTTGGGACGCTCCCCCCTTTGCAGGGTGCTGTGGTGGGGATGGAGGTGCCCACCAGTGTCTGCCCTGGCTGAATCCTCACAGCTCCACGTGCTGGGGGCTTTCCTGGGTCTCTGCTTCCTCCCACATCCCTGCAGGCACTTCCCGGGTTCCCTCTGGAGAGCCGAAACCCCAGGTGCCCACACTCCTGCTGTGGTACCTCATCCCCTGTGATGGGCATGAGTGGAGAGAGCCGAGTCCTTCCAACCCAGGACGTTTGGGATTCCGGGAGCCCGGGCAGGGCCGTGGTGCTCCTCTCACAGCTCTGCTGCGGTTCGCTGGTGCCCTCTGCAGTTGTTCCTCCCCGCTGGAAATGCAAAACGAACAGTCTGAAGGCACCAGGCACCTCATGCAAGAGAAGAGGAGCTGCATATCTCGTGGTCACAGGACCCACAGACCCTCCTTGCTGCCCAGATACCAGCATTTCTGAGGAGAAAAGATCAACCCCCGTGCTGGACAGAAGAGAAGAAAGCAAATTCCAGGAAAGCAGCCAACAGATAAGGCAGCTCCTGCTCCCCAGAGCATCAACCTCCCTGCAGGAGCTGACCTGCCTGGAGCCCTCCCTGGCAGGGGGGTGGGTGCAGGACACGTGTCCCCACTGTCCTGGCACAGGGATGCACATCTGTCCCTCCCCTCTGCACTCAGAAAGCTGGACAAGCTGCCAGGGCAGGGAAATTCCCTGTCCAGATATCCCTGGGCAGGAAAATTCCCTGTGCAGGGATTCTTTGGGAGAGAAAAGTGGAAGGAGCTGCCTTAGATCCACTAAATTAAAAAACAGGTTTGCTTTTCCTGGGTTGCTTTGTTTTCCACCAGGGTGATGGGTCTTGGTCTGACGAAGCCCTTCCCTGGCAGTGTCACAGGTGTGACAGGGACAATTCCTGCCTGAACCCGCTCCTGCTCTTTGGGGTTTTCACTCCTGGTCCAAATTAATTACTTAAAATGTTCCCTAAAGCCTGGGTTGGAATAACTCTTTGCTTTACCCTCTGCCAGCCCCAGGAGCTCTTGCTCGGGCCAGGCTGTTCCTGGGACCCCCAGGCAGGTGCCTGGGACATTTGTGCCTGCAGGAACATGGATCCAGTGAAATCCTGTGGGCACACAGCAAAGCTGGTCCCAAAAATGGCATTATATCCCTGAAATGAGGGTTTGCCACATGTGCTGGCCTGGTTGGACCTCAGCTGTTCAGTATTTCCAGAAAATTGCATTTTTTGATCATCAAAACAACCTGGAAAACCCCGTTTTAGTTGTTTTAGTAATTTAAACCAGACCTGGACTTCTCAAGGAGCTCAATTCAGCAACGAGGGCACAAAGGGGTTTGAAATTTAGCTAAAATTTAATTGAAGCTGAGTAATCGAAGTTAGAAAAGCAATTTTCCACATGTGCTGGAACTGAGGGTTCTGCAACTGGGCAGAAACCTGTGGAAAAGGGGGATTGCTCTGTCCCCCACCCTTTGCCCCCTTTTTAATTTTCTTTTTCAGGGTAATTTGGGCCTGGGATAGGGCAGGGGAGGAGCCTTTGCTGGCACAGCTGTGCCATGGGGCAGTTCACTGCTTTACAAAGGGAAGCATCCCCCTGTTCACAATGCTGGAGTCCATTCCATCATTCCATGCCTCCAGGAAAGCTTTATGGGGATTATTAAAATGGTTACAAATCCCTGAAATCAAACCAGATGTTTGCACTGAGCTCCAAGGACTTCTCACCAACACAAAGCACCAGAGGACTCAGTTCCTGGGAGGAGCAGCTCCCAAAATCCCTCGTGAGCCACTGCAGCACATCCTGGACATCAGTGCCCCTGGAGAAGGGCAGCTGGGAGGGGAATGTCTGCCTCACTCCCCAGGGAAAGGTAAATCCATGGCAGATCCACAGCTGCAGTGGAAACAAATCCTGAGGAACCTCTCCAGGGGGGAACATGTGGCAGCTGGAAACGTTATGGATGCTCCAGGCAAGATTAGTGAGGGAGCAGCAAGAAGGAACAGGGCAGTGGGAAGCAGAGGAATGAAGGGCTGTGGGAGTGCCTCACCTTCCACACTGCAGGTAAGCCATCAGAAAAAGCAGGATCAGACTGACAAGATGTTGGCCACAGGAAAATTTTACCCTCGGGGTGGTTATAAAGCAAAGCCTCCAGAATTAGAAATGTTCTTAACAGGGGAAAAAAAAGCACAAATATTTAGCAGCAATAGTGTCCCAGTGGAAATCTCCCTGTTCTAGTCCAGTCTCTTGGCTGAAAATTATTTTCTGAATTAATTTCAGCTTTAATGTGTTTGTCGAAATGAAGTTGAATAAAATGAAGAAGGGAATCTTTCCTTCTCTCTAACAGAAATCTAAACTTAAGCTTAAAGAAAAAAACCAACAATTCAGAACCCAGAAAGCAGCATTTCATTACAAGAATCTGTTTTATTTTTTACAGTGCAGTGACTGAAACAATGTAGAAATTTAACTTGCAAAACTGTATTTATATCACAATGTCTCTCAGAAGGCAATGCGGACGTGTTGCTTTTAATCACAAAATATTCCTCTGGACAGCAGAAATTCCAAGCTCTCGGCACTATACACTTCATTTAAATCTATCTTATAAACAATTTGTTTTTAGAAAACACGTGGAAGGTATAAAGAACTCAAGTATTGAACTCAAGGCCTTGATTATCATCATTTTTTCTGTAGGCAGAGGTGCTGTGAGGAGCTGCCCAGGCTCCTACTCGGGCTCGGTGACACACTGCTCCACGATCTCCCGCAGCGTCGGGTTCTCCATCGCCGCCGCCACGCGCTCCTTGTCGTTGATCTGCTTGTTGACTGCAAAACAGCCCACAAAGGGCAACTCAGGAGGCTCCAGGGGCAGGGGACGGGGGGGACGAGGGGGCTCCAGGGGCAGCCAAAGGCAGAGGGTTAACAGGGAAAGGGGAACGAGGCAAACGAAAGCTCAGTCATGACCCACCGTCAGAAATCGGTCGTTTCTGATACATCTCTGGTTTAGGAACAGAATTTAAGATGCCCCAACGACATGTCTTAAAATTAAGTGTGAAACTCGTGACTAATCAGGAGTTGGAGTTCTCCAGGTTCAATTGCTAAGTTATTTCACCAAAATAACCCATTTTTGCTAAAGACACCCAGTGCTCCAGGCTGGGACACTCCTGGCAGGGGCTCCAGCAGCTGCTCAGGGCAGGGCCTGGCTCTGGCTCTGACAATGCCCCTGCCCTCGAGCTTCACTGTAAGCACTGAGAAACACATATTTTTGTTATGGATATTTCAGGACAGCAAGATCAGCCAGTGGGTTCTTCATGTTAATTATTCAGCAGCAACTTCTTTTGTCACAGACACAACTTAACACCTGCAAGAACCCAGCTGAAAAACCACACCAGCAGCAAGCACGTGGTCACAGAGCCACCACAGCTTTGGAAAGGGCCTCAAGGGCAGGTCTGATTTTAAAGCTTTCACAGGGTATTAATTCCTGGGAAGGACAGGAAGGCAGGGGAGGGAAGGACTCAACCAGCACAAACAGGCTGCAGCAGCTCATTCCCAAGCTCTACTCACTGTCCTCTTCGGTGGAATGTGTGCCCTCAGATATATAGATTTCCAGCTGCAGGAGAGATCAGCAAGGTTAGAAGAGTTAAACACCTGAATATATTCAGTGCTGGAAAAAAAACATCATCCAGTGCAGATACAATGCATGTTATTCCTACTGAGAAACAGGGGATCCATGGAAAGAGCTGATCCTGGACTTCACTGCAACACAACCACAACACAGCCTCCCTGGGAGACACTCCTGACAAGCTTTGCTCAGTGATGACAACCCCAGAGACTCTGTTTGAACTTGGCTGTGTAACACAGTCTGTTCCTGCATGGAACAGATTATGGGACTGGAATCTAAACAGACCTAAACCACCTCCAACATTTACCAGGCCTGGGACAAAAAACAAAACCCCCTGACAGAGGCTGGAGGGCAGGGAGATCACCTGAAAGGGATGTACCCAAAGGAACCAAGGAAACAAGCCCTGGGCCTTTAACTGCTCTCTCTGAAGCTGAGCCTGGTTAGCACCACAAAAAACATCATCTACCTCATCTTCTACAAGTCTCACTCTACACTGCTCAACTGGAAAGATGAAGGCAGCAACTATAAAAACCAAACAACCACCAGAAATCACCAGCAGAAACCCTCAGGTAATTAATTTATGCTGTCAGTTATTTCGGGCAAGTCTCTAAAGGTCTGTAAATCACTATGCTTGTCAGTAAAGGTCTGCTCTGCTCCTGCTCAGACCCAAACAGATTTCTCCAGGGATATATTACAGTCCCTCACACTCCCCAGCCAGGGCTGGCCCCTGTCAGGGACAGTTTTAGGGGTCAGGGACAGCACATGGCCAGGATCAGGCCATGTGCCATCCACACATCAGCTCCCAAGACATGGATCATAAAGATTCCCTCAGAGCAGTTCCAGTGTTTTAATCCTGCAGTTTTCCTGTGCTCTTCCAAACCTGTTCCCGAGGTTTCACTGCCAAGCTGATGCCCAGCCCTGCTCCACCAGCTCCTGCCTGACAACAGAGCAGGGCATTCCCTGCCTTGCAGGCTCTGTTTCAGAGCTTGTCTCTCATTCATGTAGCCCAAAACAGGTTTCAAAGCAGGTACTTTACCTTGTGTCTAAAAGGCAAACATCTCTGAAGTTTTATTCTTAAACAAAGGCCTGTTAAAACAAAACAGATTTCCTTGTAAAATTCCAGGCTGAGGTGCATTTTCAGAGAATCCATATGTAACAACCAGTATAACTGACAACCTCCTTTTGTGTTCTGAGCAGCACAAGCCACAGAGGGACTAAAGAATTTGTGGTTTCACTCCTTGGATGCAGCTTTTCAGGTAAGTTCACACCTGCCTTACAAGCTTTGAGGTCTCTGGTCTCTAATCACCTCCTAGAAACACTAAACAGAGACAAATTCCTCCCTTTCCAACTTGCTTTGGTATTTATATATATTTATTTATATTGGTATTTATATTTGGTATTTATATATATTTATATAAATAATATAATGTAATATATATAAATAATATAATATATTTCGCTATATATATTTACATATAGCTTCCCAGCTATCACTGAGGCTGCACTTCTTCTGAGGGGAATGCTTGGTTTGTTTTTAATAGTTGGTTAAAAAAAATAATATAAATTATTTGGGCATAAGTACATCAGTTTCCTCATTAAACTGAACACTTGATTTCCCTTAAATCTTTAGAATACACTGAGAAACCTTAGTTCTGATATTTAGTGGTGAGACTTTCTAACCTTGGCACATTCAAGCAAATCACATCAGAGCTCTCAGATGGGATTTTTCAGATGAAATCTCACCACAAACCATAAGGGAAAAATAAAAAGACAAGACAGGCCAGTGTAAATTATCATTCAACGTAATTCCCTTCCAACTCCTGATGCTTTGGGACTTTTTTTGGGATTCCTGGATTGCATGGGGGGGGATTTTTGGTGTGTGGGAATGGAGAACAGCCCATAGGGAAGGGAGACAAGCACTAAGTTTAAGGGGTTTTAAATTCAAGAGCTGACAAGTTTTTAATTTAACGTTACTGAAATAACATGGCCAACACACAGAAGGAATTCTGTGCCACTTCCCAGGAGGTTTCTGAGAGGTTCCTTCTGAGGAGTTCCCCTGGCTGGATACAAAGTGATGGATTTCCCCACATTTCTCTGGATTTGGGTTTGGTTTGGGATTTTGGTCTGTTTGCACTGCCAGCTGGGCTCTCAAGATGCAGTTCCTGGTCACACCAACACAGCAGCACAAGGCTGAACTTTACCTAGCCCTGGTGTTACTGAGGGAACCCCCAGCGAGCCCCCTGCTCATGGTCCCCAGCTCAGGCACCCAGAGCTCACCGATGAGAGTGGCCAAGGAGCAATGAGGTACTGTTGGTGTAAACCTGATGGTGACCAGATACTCCTCCTCTCCTATCTCCTGCACCTCCACACCACCTTCTGTCACCACTTCCAGTTCTTCCAGAGTGTTGGGCTTCTCCGGGTCCCGGATGGTCCGGATAATGTCTGAAGCAGAAGGCAAGGGAGCAACAGTAAAGCAGCTTTCCAGGATCTAATAAAAGCTATTTTCATTATCAACCACCTTCCCAGCACTGTTTGTTTTGCCCCCCTCTGGAAGGGGCAGAGCTGTAAATACCAGGGGCACTTTATCTCACAAAATTCTTCTGGATGGGACAATTTGAGGCATTTGTTGCTCACTGTGGGTTCGTTTTTCATGTTCCATTAGTTCTGATTTAGTTCAGCAGCACTTCGGGGATTCCTCTGCTCTTTCAAATCTAATTATACAGGGACAGGTGCTTTATTCTGCAGAGGTCATGGGCAAGCCTGACCCTGTGGATGAACCAAAATCCTCAAGACTTGCCTCCCTGCTCAGGTTCACAACCTGGGTTATGAGTAATAACTTTTACTTAGGACCACTGGTGTTTTAGAGTAACTCTATTTAAACCAGTCAAGTTTTAAAACTGAGTTTGTTTGACATTGTGTCCTCAGTTCTCCGAACTAACAGTGCCCTGAGGCTTGACAAGGTGTTTGGAATCCTCCCCAAGCAGAACTTCCAGCAGTGAAATCTCTCCCCATTTTACAGAAACAGTCACTCAGTAACAGCAATCTGCATTTCCCTGGATCCACTGGTGACCACCCTGGAATTCCTGGCCCTTCCAGGTGTGTCCAGCTGCTCCTCTGTCTCAGGTGGGGTGCCCCTGAGGCAGGGGCTGAGCTGGGCAGCGATCCAGGCCTTTCCCAGCCCCTGTGGGAGCAGCCTCCATCCAGAGGGGCTCGGAGACACTTCTCCCGCACTGCCAGGGGTCCCCCCTCACCGTGAGCACCCCAAGGACACAACATCCCCCCGTGTCAGACTCTGCCCCTGCCCCCAGCGCTGCCTGCACCCTCCGGCACCCCAAGGGAACCCCTTCCCACCCGATTCCAACCCTCAAACGATCCAAATGAACTTTCCTCCTGCCCCACACCGAGCACAGCCCCCTCCGGCCCCCGGGGACCCCTGGGGGTGCTCCGACACTCCAAGTTCCCGGG